AAACCCTGACCCTATCCCAGACCTAAAATTTTGATTTTACATACCCTACCCCAGACTAAAACTAAGAATTGTACACCCTATCCCAGACTAAACCCAGTTAGTCAATTAGATTGCAATCAATATTTGCTAACGTTTTTATTGTTCTTGTGCTGTCAGAAAGCATAGTCTATTCGCCACACAAAAACGACCAAATTGTAACCCTATCCCAGACAAAAAGGACACCCTATCCCAGACAAAATGCCAAAAAATGATACTCTACCCCAGACCCAAAAGCCGAAAAACCATACCCTATAGGGCGGCACATACCCGTATAGCAAATGTAGGGGAGTACCCCCCCAGGCATGCATGGGAGACCACTCGGTTGATGTAATGTATTCCGAAAATCTGTTGTACTCTACTGTTGTTCTATCTGTTGTATCAGATGTGGTTCATTGTATTTTTAAGAATACATTACATCGACTGCTTGCTATCTAGGCTTTCCCTAAGCTGCACGATCTCTGGTTTGAATCCTGTAATATATGAATAGTTGTTTATCTACAGTTTAGTTTGCAATAAGATATTCTATTGTTTTAAGAATCATATGAGTGAGGCTCGGTACAATGCTTGTTGTCTCATTTGCATGCACCCATAAGGCTGCGTTCATAATGTATTGCAGAGGGGGGCGAGGGGCTGGGGCAGGTGAAATTGAGGGGGGATCAGGATCACATTATGAACGCAGCCTAACATCTGCTATTAAGTCAGTCTGTAATAGTTCCCTTGATTTGAGGGTTTTCTTTTTTCACCCATTACAGTAGTTTATTTTTGTGATATCAAGTGCTTACCTTTCATCAATGACATCATTCTCGTCACTTGAAATGACAATTGCAGTCTCTGAAGCCTCAACCTGCACAAGATAATTTAAGAGACCAGACTTTTAAAGACATGCTTAATAGTTCATCTGCTTGTAGCTTTCTCCTCTTTAATCATTAATTTGTTTTAGTATTGTATGATTGTAACATCTAATTTGCATAATTGTAAATGGTAATAATTGGACAGACCTTATAGAGAGTTTTCACGTGACATCACAGCGGCCATGTTGGTGTACCAAAACAATACAATTTTTGTCCTCTGGGAATTGAAAAAATTCTACTACAAATTTTTATGCAAAAACTGTGCAGAAAGTTTCTATCTTTTGGTACACTAAATTGAATACACCAGAGTGAATACGCTCTATAATTTCTATTCAGTTAAAATACTAACACAATCATTAGAATCGAAGTAGTCATTAAGTACAATGGAAAGCCAAACTCTCCATCCAAAAGATAGAACATAATTGCATATTAAATGCATTTGAATTTTACCTTTTGGTGACAAGTTTTTATATGGTGTTTCAGTTGGCCATATACAACTTCTTTGCCACAAGTGAGACATTCGATTTTAGGATCCAACATCTTGATCAAATTCCTGTGAAAATATTTAAATCAATTTTATCATACATTAATTAATTAATTACTTGAATACTTGCCATAATATACCTTATCAAATAACTGTTTTAAATCTCGCGTTCTGATTGGTTTGGAGAGCGTGCTTTATGAAAGCAAACAGCACGGGCCTCACTTTCAGTTGCGTTATTCCTATCTAAAATAATGGTTATCGTAATTTGTATTTTATAAAAGCTGTGCTGTGCTGTGTGAAGTTATAAAGCACTTGGGGATTGGCAGAATTGGATTGGCTATGCGTCGTGCTTCTCCTATAACACTTGTCTCRTGTTCTGCCTACCCCCGCGTTCTCTATAACTGCACACAGCACGTGCGTGCGTTTTCTATTTCTTCATTAATTATAATTTACTGCACGAATATAAATTAGTGTGATGCTAGAAATTTCAGATATTGAATATACAGCTAGTAATAATAAATGATAATAGGGTACATAATCAGCATTACTAATTTTTTCCTTGGAGTTTGCATTCATTTACTTTATAATCAGTCTGATTGTTTTGTTACATTGATATTGATTTTTACTCACACTGATGTTTGGAGGACTGTCAATGTCTAGATTTTTTTGTAAGGGATGCACATAAGTTATTGCCTGGCCAACACACACGGTATCTCGTAGATAAGGTAATGAATAACCTCTGGGACCACATTCTATCACCTTCAGTTTTCTTCTTCGATTCCTGCTCCACCTGCAAATGCTTGAAGCAATTCTATACCTCCACCATCTCTGACCTTTGTGCATTCTTTTTGAAGAGTGTCAATGAACTCTCCATGGTTTGCATTTCTATTAGGAAAAACTATCTTTCTTCTGCCCAGTCCTGCTGTCTGCAGATGAAACAATTCATCTTTTAATGGGGTATATTCATCTGAAACTTTCGAAAGAAAACAAAAGGTATGTGTCCAGGTTTGTCTGGACGGAATGTTGGATGGCACGGTTTTGACTTTCTTGGATGCTTTGCCTTCACTGCTTTCATCTACTGTATTGCGTTTTGGGGTTCTTCCAGAAAGCCAAGGAGATGCAGTACTGAAAATAAAACAAGAAATTAACAAAATGGATATCCTACAATTCATTCCGCAATTTAAACTGCCATTCCGGCTTCTTTTATGCACATTCTTTCCTCCTTCCAATGACATCGATAGCGTCCGTGACCCGCCCACACGCGCAACGCGTACACATACGCCTACTTGGGTATTTGGCGGGAACGTCACGCTAAAACGCGTGTACACTCGCCTCTCCAACTCTGATACCCTCCCTGTGCCACTGCATCTGAATGTACCGCGTTCTACTCCGCGTTCTTTTTTTCTTACTTAGTTGCGTACCAAAAACGTATTATTTCTATGTGTTCTGTAAAGTTACTGAAAATATGTTACTGTATATGTATTCTCGAATTAAAACATTCACTAATTACTGAACAGCAGCTTTATAGCAGTGATTCTAAAACCATTTATTTTACTTTCATTGCATCTATCAAGCAAACAAAAAATAAATCAAGTTTAACAGTCAAAATATGGTTCACAATATTATATTTCTTACTGGAGATTTTCCTGAGGCCGCGTGGTTTGGGTAGCTTGGCAAGTTGAGGACGTTTGAGAGAATTCATCTTCTAGGTTTTGGGAAGTAGTTGTGTTATCCGTGGTTGTTGTTGAACTTAAAGTCCCTAAGGTGGAGATGGCAGACATGGCCGTTTGTTGCGTCTCCGTCGCGGATTCCGCCGTAGTACCAAGACGGACGAGCTCATCGATGGCTGTCCTTTTCTTCATTCTATTCTTCTACTACAGTACCTTCCTTGTGTTCCTGGCAATGATAACTATCAAGAGAATATTCTCTTGTACCCATCCTTTCGATATCGCTCGGCTTTGGCTTTAAAGATTCGGACAGACCTCACATGTGGCTTTCACACGGTCAGACATACCCATGGCATTTGGAGAAGCGAGCACACGCGTTTTAGCGCGAAAACTCCAGACAAAACAGTAACATTTACGACTTTTTTCAAACGTTTTTGCGGGCGTGTTGAGATCGTTCGTAATACGGCAGAGCGCACTAATCAACCCAATGAAAAGATTGATGAAAAGCTCTAGAGTGCTCACACTAAATCCGTGAAACAAATACTAATTTTTAGCACTAATTAGTGATAATTAAACAATAGAAAACAATAAAAAATGTTCACGGTTTTAGTGCGTGCACTCTAACAGTTCCAACAAGATAAATTACAATATAGCCCAATGAGATAACACCGGATATATTTGGCTGTGGTCCCGTCCACGCTCATCGGCTTCAATAATAATTATAACAATGATGATTTATATGTCTATTTACTTATTTATTATTTACAAAAAGTACATTAAAATTACGAGTACAATTAACGGTATCAAAATCAGCACCCTAGAGTGGCTTTCTAAAACCCTTGAAACAAATAATTAAAGCGTATTTAAAAGAAATACATTTTATTAACACAAATAAACATTCGAACTCGCTAGCTGGGAGCGGCACMCTGAAATTTGGTTTTTCGCTGCCGCCAGTCAAAATATGAACCTACGGATTAGGTTTTACAGCCGTGCCACAAACCACAGGCAGCCCAAACAAGGTTCCTGTGTATAGTTTATAAGGGGATGTATGGGAGTTATGATAAAGTTATGAAAATAAAACGTTTCAATCAACAATTGTTGCTTTTACTTTGTTCAATCTTCTGGCGAACTTTCAGCGCGATTTGAGGCCGTTTAGTGGGTTTTCTCAAAATCCGCTTTTCAACTGCAGCAAGTTTTGAGGCAAATCGTTGAGTGAAACATTTTATTTTCGTAACTTTATCATAACTCCCATACATTCCCTTATAAACCATACACAGGAACCTTGTTTGGGCTGCCTGTGCACAAACTAATAAACTTACTAATAAAAGTAAATGGAAGAATGGATTTTGATTCGTGACCGCACTTCACACGGCCACGGTACGAAATTCATTATATGCATCTGTTGAACCGCGCGGTTATCATATTTTAGAAAATGCGTTGCGTACCCTGACTTTCAAGCCCAATACTGCCCAACGGCTGATATTATGGTTTTTGAGGTTTTTTCTCAATCAATTTATTTATTTATTTATCGTTAGAATGGCCTTACGCCTCTTCACCGTGCTGTCGTGGACGGACACCCATTCATCGTGAGGACACTCGTTGATGCTGGGTGTCAGGTGGACAAACAAGACGAGGTACGGTATGAGTCAGACACTATTCTGTATGCGTACTTAATGCATGTATAGACTAGGTTTCCATAGGGGAGGTACTAAGCCTGTAGGGGAGAAAGTAATTGGAGAAATGAAGGAGAAGACAGGACAGGATGGACAGAGAAGAGAAAATGGACGGAGAAGGAGAGGCGAAAAGGAGAGCAGGGAAGGAGGAGAGGAAAGGAGAGACATGGAAAGAGAGGAGAGAAGAGGCCATGGAAAGAGAGGAGAGAACAGAAGAAGGCGGAGAGGAGGAAAATAGAGCAGGATAAGGAAAGGTAAACGCTGCTTCGCTTTTCCTGATTTTCCCTACCCCACAACAAGCAATCCGCGCGCATTCCTCACGAGTCTCTTACGTAACAAAGGATATTAGAAGTCTGCAGATAATTTATTACGTAGTATGTTGGACATGTGCTAGGTAAAAACCCATTCAGCTAGGAAGTCGCTATTGTATTTCCCTGATCAGTTTATTCGCTCCCCAGTTTGTGAAGGAACAACAATTTTATTTTATTTATTTTTTGTTGTTTTTCCTCTGGTTCCAAAGAATAAAAATACAGCGCTACACGAAGCGTGTTGGAATGGACACATTAACTGCGTACGTATCCTACTGGAAGCAAATGCTAATGCAAATATTCACAATAAGGTAATGCGTGTATTGCTTATTCCTTAATCTATCACTAAGACTCAGGTCAAAAGGCCAACTTTACATGGGCGTAACCTAATTGAAACAATAGATATCAAGGGGGTCAAGGGGGTTTGATGTCATTAGGTTCGGCGCATGTGAAGTTCAACGCTTGACATAAGCCTAAGAATTAAGATCAAACGTCGAAMTTCAGATAAGCCTAACCTAATGACATCGAGGAAGACCGCCTTGTTATCCAGTTGTTTCAATTAGGTTCGGCTCATGTGAAGTTCAACGTTTGACCTGAGCCTAATATTCTGTATATAAGAATGCTTTTGCAATAATATTTTTTTTATTATCGTTTTTTTGTAGAACGGTTTTACTCCACTGCACCTTGCGTCTCAAAATGGCCACCGTCCAACTGTCCAGGTTCTTTTGGACCATGGTGCATACTCCATGTCCAAGAATAACGTGAGTATTTTATCGAGTACTGCAGTATCATTCTATGTTTTTGGGTACACATTCATGTAGGGAAGGAAACACGAGGGTGAGCGAACATCATCCATTCTCCTAACCCCTACCCCGAAAAATTCAGTTTTTCAGTTCATGTAATTTGCCCACAAAAAGTAGTTGTACATTTGGCGGGAAATTTTGCGCTAAAACCGGCGCGCGCTCCCTCTTCTCCTCACAGGGAGCCCAAGCAATAATTATTATTACTAGAGAGGGATTTTTAAAAATCTTTTCTAAAGTTAAGAAAAAAATATTTAAAATAATTTTAAAATTTTGAAATTTTCTTTTCACATTTTTTATATAAAACTTGATCGACAAATGCATTGCTTGGGCTCCCTGTGTTCCCCTCCCTCAACTCTGGAACCCTCATTACCCACTGTATTTTCCCCTATAAACTCATTGTAAAGTAGTAAGAGAAAATGTTGTTGTTTTTAATTTTCTTTAGTATGGCGACACACCTCTTCACCTGGCTGCTCGCTACGGACATGATCAAGTGTGTGTGACTTTACTAGCTGCAGGGGCCATTGATTCGCTACAAAACAACGTGAGTACAGTAGTCATCTCGTTTTGGAATTCATTCAACTTTAAGGTATTCACTAACCTATAATGCATGTTCAACCACGTCAGTACCTATGGATCGTACACTCTCGTTCCTTGGTGGCGCGGAACAGGACAGATTGGGCAAATAATGTCACGGCCTTATGCGCCTTCTGGGCGTGAAGAGCGATGATGAAGACTTTAGTTTTTAGCTCAGCTTACCCGGGCCCCTCGCGTCCACAGAGCCTTGACATCAGAGTGAGGGAATGGTAGTTTTGCGATATTCAAAATGCATGGCGTAATGGCCATATTTGGAGCAGAGGAGGAAACCAAAGCTTTTTCGTAGTGTATCAGCTTCACCAACGTCAGRTTTTGGAATAACTTTTTCTCATAGTCATATAATATTACATCTACTCCGTTGTGACAGGTTGGAGACACACCTTTACACGACGCAGCACGTGTTGGTCATGCTGAAGTAGCTGCGGTACTTCTCGACAGCGGAAAACTTATTGCCGTTAAAAATAATGTAAGAGTATTGTGTTAACGAACAGCTTTGTTAAGAATTCTTAAATGGAAATTATACTATGAACGTTTCACTCCCACGCAAACATATATATTTCCCAAAAACATAACTCAGTGCGTAAAAGGCGTATCTAGAACGTCCTACGACCTGTGACCTCCCTTTGGACAGTTTAGGAATGTGAGGTGAGGAACGGATAAGATACACCAATGATGAATAAATTTAATTACTTTTAATTGGACGGGTGTCGTGTGATTTATGTGGAGAGAAGAGGAAGACAAATTTATAGAGATTTCGGAGAAGTGAACTCTACTTCCTCCCTCCATCCTCGTGCTCCACACCGCAAATGTAAAGATTCAACTCGCAGTCATTTATGTTTATTTAGGTTGGAGAAACAGCACGTGATGTAGCTACGCGCCTTGGACACACAAACGTTTCCAAACTGATACCAACCAACAGCTTACCGAGGGTAAGTCACGTGTTCAAGCCAAGTTTCAAATCTGTTATTTCATTCTCGAGCCAGCGTTTCTCTTGGATAGTTCCTTGTTACTGACCAAGAGAAACGCAGACTCTGGGGACGAGATTGCTTTTATTTTAAATCAGTGCGCATGAATTACTGAAGTAGCGCTGCTGGCCTATGATTATATTTTAGTTTCTAGCAATAGACTCATTTACGCAGGCTGAACCTCGATTTTGTGAAGAATATTCACGTGTTCCAGTCATGGAAGTTGTGGATTCTTTACTTTACTGTTGGTGTTTGTGAATATTTAGATATTGATATGAGACTAAGCCTGAGTAAATGAGTCTGTAATCAAGAAACACAGCGGTAATTTGGAACTCGAAAAGGGTCTATAGGAGAAGTCACGTGTTAATGTCGTGTCATACATGATCTGGTCACGTTCATACGCGTTTGGCATACATACCCAGTCGTTTATTAATCCATTTCACTTCTTATTCTTAACATTGTTTTCCCTTTCTTATAATATTTAAGCCTCTAAGAAGACAACGTCCCAAAAGTGCCGATGTAACGCAACTATATGACAGCACAACCACCCTAGCTACTAGACCAACTTCAATGCTTTTTGTACCAATCCCCGTTCCTGGGAACCCTGTGCCTAAGGTAAGAAATCCTAGTTAATTAACCTCTAGGGTTTGGGCGTCTATGTGACGTCATGGCAGCCATCTTGGATGAATATGAAATGTGCCGTTGGAATAATGATATTAACACCAGAGTCTAAAATATCCAGCCAAAATGGTTATATCGGATCCAAAGTTATCAACGGGCTCATTTTTATAATTGAATCTCAGAAACCTACTCATTTTGCAAGGAAATCCCASTTTTAAAGGACTTTGATCTTACCATATGTTCCACATGCAAAAAAGTGACGCACTTGATTTGCGTGTTTGAAATTGTTTGCCTTAGCTCAATTCACCGTCGTTTTGCTTGCTTTACCGTCTATACTGTCTTATACTATCACCTGTTTGGTCTTTCTTAATACAGGCAAATTCCTATATATTTCAAGATCTTCTCGCTAAGTAGAAAAATAAGAATGGGATATAAGCATATTTTGCTCCAGGTTTTTCTCTTATTCTTTGATTTTCTTTCAAATTCCAATATGAACTAATTGTTAAACTTTGGACCGCATTCTTTCACCAGGGAGAGAGGGCAGTGATTCTCTTCAAATCCTATGCCAAAACTAATTTTCTACATATCTCAAAGGGGAGTGGGGCATAAGGGAAATAAGGGAATGTCATGCGAGATGGCGACGACCCCGGACATCCGCTCTCTTTGGTCAGCGGTGACATAGTAAAGAATAGAACCTTTGTTTACAATATAATAGTTGTAGAAATAAATAACAATTGGTTCCAATCGTTCCTAACTTAGCGTGGTATGTGGTTTCAAACCACAAAATTCTCTTCTTTAAGAGTCATTGGGGCCTACCTACTTTATTCCTGACTCATTCGGGATCAAAAACGAGAGATTCTTGCGTAGTAGCTAGACTTTATGTAAACTACAGTTATTACAACTGTGTCAATAGAAACATCATGAAGAATAATCGTCGACCACACGTTTTTCCGTGGCTATTTCTCTTCGGTTTATTCAGTTTTGCAACAGTTTTTGGAAAAGAAAGTCAAGATCTTCCAAACCAAGCTCAAAGTCATTTCAATATACGAAGAAATGTTATAAACTACATCGAAGTTAGTGGAAGAATCACTTTCAAAGGCAAAGCACCTGAGAYTATCCCTCCTAATTCACAACTGAACGTGAAACTTATCGATATTAGAACAGCAGACGCTTCTCATATAGAGTTGGCGAGCATTCTAGTCGATCTTTCGAGTTACGAGAACGATTCACCTGTGTTTTATAATCTTACAAGTAAAAAACCTTCAGATCTACACGACATGCATAGCATTACAGCAGTTCTCAACATGGGATGGACCCCCAAGGGTGGAGAAAATGATGAGTGGCTTCGACATGGAGACTTCCATACTACTTATAGCTTCATGGTTAATGTGACGTCAGGAACGGATAAATTTGTTCGAGATATTGAGATGGAGGTATTCACACGTTTAACATCAGCCTCAGTACTATGGGGTGAGTATTATGCATCAGTCATTTGAAAGCCCCAGATCCCCCATTGGGGGATACCCAGATCATTCACTTCTACAGCCCCCACTTTTTCACTTTTCCCATACTAGCCTCTTATATTTTCTAATCTTATCCCCCTATGTTTCCCTTAAATTTCTCATATTTTCCATTCTCCCCCCAGTTTTTAGGGTGCTCAGCGGCCCTGTTAATTGCATTGAAACTAATCAATTACAAAATATCAACTATAAAATCTTTGGTGTAGGGAGGGGATTAATCTGAACACTGGCCCTCRAGCTCTGTATGGAGTGGCCGAGTGGCCCTTAAAAGAAGGGGGTAGGCCACAGTAACCCTAAACAGGGGGCTGCAACACAGGTTAGGAGTGTTTGTATTTCCACAATTTACAACCAATGCCTCATTGTAAACATGATGCCTACATACCCACCATTCCCCTATTTGTTTGTACTAATGCTAGACCATAATTCATTTTAATATTTCTTTTCACAGGTAACAATATCACTTCAGTTGCAACACTGTTGCTGCTCGTGGCACTGTTTCTTCTTGGTTAACCCCACTCTACCAGCCAACCCTAAAGTTTTGACAAAAATGCTGAGAATTATAAACAATATAAGAAACAACTACATGCATTTTTCTTTCTTACCCTGTCATAAAAGTCCTACCCAAAGTGAAGTTACCACCATTTGCATTACTATGCAGCCACCCCAGACACAAATTGCGTTGTGCAGTTTGCAATGGACTGCCGTCAATCAAACACCTCATTCTACTTGGATGTACTCAAACTCTTTGCAAACGATTTCGGAACTTTCCTTCGTGATATCTGACTGAGAAAGTTTGATAGAAAAGCCAACTCACTGATCCAAACGTGTATAAATGGCGTCAACATGAATGATTGACTGTAGTCTATCAAAACTACACGACTCAATTTGTGTCTGGGGTGACTGCATAGCAATGAAAACGGYGGTAAGATCTGAAGATTGTAAGGATTGGGATAGCAAAATAGTGCTAAATATTTTCCTAGCCTCATATCCATACATACTTTATTGTAATTTTTGTTATTGTTGAAAGGTTTTGTTTAACAATGATGTAAGCATGCAAAGATCACTCTATTTTGTTTCTCTTCAAATTTTATTGATACTTTGAAACAACCTTTAGGCTGATTTACGTCAGGGCATGGCTAACTCACAGATCAAACCCTGAAACAACCTCTGGGCTGATCCTAGTCAGGGCATGGCTAACTCCCAGATTGAACCCTGAAACAACTTTTGGGCTGATCTAAGTCAGCAGGTCACAGCTAACTCACAGATTGAACCCTGAAACAACCTTTGGGCTGATCAAAGTCAGGACAGGGCTAACTCACAGATAGAACCCTGAAACAACCTCTGGCCTGATCTAAGTCAGCAGGGCACAGCTAACTCACAGATTGAACCCTGAAACAACCTCTGGGCTGATGTAAATCAATGCATGGCTAACTCACAGATCAAACCCTGAAACAACCTCTAGGTTGATCTAAGTCAGGGCATGGCTAACTCACAGATTGAACCCTGAAACAACCTCTGGGCTGATCTAAGTCAGGGAATGGCTTATTCATGGATGGAATTGGAATTTAGTGTGTTAAGGGGGAAGGAAACTGGGGAACCCAGAGAAAAACCCTTGCATCAAGGGAGAGACTTTACAGACTCAACGTAACCCACTTAATGCAACCCTATTTTCAGAACAATAGTAAGTAGCATGAATGTTTTAAAAATTGAATAATATATTAAAGTAATATATTAAAGTATTGAGAACTTATCATGTGACTACTTGGGTGTTTAGGTTTCTACAGCATAAAGATTGGGGGAGGCCCCCTCCTGGCCTCCTTTCGTCCACCCCAACAGTTGGAGGGTGGGGGACAGTACATAATGAGGACCCAAACAGTGGGAATTTAGATGGACATTGCAGTGACCCAAACAGTGAGGGGGGTTGGGTGGGGGCAGTACATAGGGATGACCCAAACAGTGGTAATGTAGGTGGACAGTGCAGTGACCCAAACAGTGGAAGGGTTGGGTGTACAGTGCATAGGGAGACCCAAACAGTGGGAGGTGCACAGGTGCATAATGATGTACATTATTAGAATAGGTAACATCCATTTATGAATCCTGGTAACATTTCAGCTTGCTCCGACCATTTCCTACATTGCACCTTTGTGTCCAGTTTGATGCAGAATTTTCCTTGTCATTCATGCTTTTTCCATTTTTTACCTTTTCTTTGATATTTGTTGTAAAACACTCCACCCTTTGTCTCCTATCTACTTCTGGAAGGACTTAATTTGGTACTTTCCAGTTGCCAATCCTTCCCATTCTTACCTACTTTTCCATTTCCCTCAGCAGACTCTATAGACTGCGAGCAGCCCCTCTATTTTCCTTTCGTCCCTCCCTCCCCAGCCCCCTCCCCCAGGGACTTTTGACTCGCAACAAATTTTCCTCAGCCAATCGACACTTACAGACAGACGGACAGTGACCAAGGGAAATAGAGGGACTGCTCACAGTCTGCAGACCGGCTCTACATCCCTTTTCTCTTCACAACTAACACAATCATATCCTTGAATCCCGTTTCCATAGAAACCATGGCAAAGGAAGAACTACCTTAAATACATCAATTGGAGGAACCAAAAGGAAGAAGATGACAAGAATGAAAAGAGGCGCAGTTGTRTCTTGACAAATGAGCTGCCTCTAAAGTTTGAGGAGATGTGTTCCATTGAGAAGCAATACAGTATGGCAAATGGCAAACACAGGCCCACTCTGGACCATATGAACGAGAAGAAAACTGGACGAAAGCTTGCGGTAAGTAATTGGGCTAATGATCCACGAGTCAATAGCCCGTGAGGCCGAATTGCGGGCTGAATTGGCTATATCTATTTAGTTTACTCTCAGAGGTTTATCGCTTAATAATGGTGTAAATGAGTGCAAGACTTTTCAACGGAACAATAAGGACTTTGACGACTAGCTGTTAAATGGAAGTTAGCCGCATAAACTTTCTTTAGGTCGATTTTGACAACTGGTTACTAAAACAGATATTGGAATAAATTACTGAATGAAAAAAACTTTTAAAGACTTTTATGACCGGTCACTAGACTCTTTGGTCGCTTGATAGATGGTCGCATAACAGGTTATACTTTAGTCTACTTATATTTATTACGGTTTACTGCTGAATTAACTCTGCGAAAGGTTACAGGATGGAAATGAGAGTTACTCGCCTGATTATGTGCTCGTGAATRCAAAGTGAGAGGTACACTATCACTTTTGCAACTGAGGGAATTCGTYGAGGGAAAAGAGTACTAGAGGAACTCCCAGTTATCCATCTCTTCACTCTTGTCTTTTCAATCACAGTCTAGGGAGTGTGGATGAGGGTACCCGATATTGTCAGTTAACTACTAATTTTTTAGGCCGCTTGACAAGCGCTGGCCATATAATGAAATATCAGTTCTGTTAAATACTAATTTTAGGTTATTTGTCAGTTAACTACAAATTCTTAGACCAATTGTCAATTAACTCGTTAAACCCCATCCACGCCCTCGTCAGTCTAGGGCCAACTAACCTCTCCCTTAGCGGCCTGGTTAGGTTTCGGCCGGGTTTCCTGATCTATCAGTTTCTATTGCTATTTCTATTTCTATTACTGCCTATATTTTCAGGAATCTTACGAAAAGACTTCTTTATCGTCAACCTCGAGTTTCTCAAGTTTCTCGAGTTTCTCAAGCTTTGGTTCTGGATTACTGAGACGATTCAGCTTCCGTAAACGGTAAGAAACCATAGTAACTTAACTATTTGATAACTTCCTGCTTGTGTTTGCAGGCAATGAATTGTAGAGACAATAACAAATGTAAATACCTTTGCTTGTGGTTCAGGCTGTCATTTATTTTCCATGATATTTATGATATTTGTTTATTTCATTTTTTCGCTTTGAGCATGAAAATTTAAAATCAAATTTGTCGATATTATTTAATTTAAAACTCATCCTTGTGAACTGAAATAATCTAGAAAGTATTACAAGTATTATAATACACTTTACAAAATTACTCGATTCTGAGGGACAAGAGGAGTACAATTAAATCCCAAATTGTACTCTGTAGAGTCCCAATTAAGTTGCTCAGTAGTTTCGTTGAGTGTATTATAAACAAAAAATGGCACAATCTTCTCGTACAATTCGGAATTTATAGATACTCGTGATGTTTTGAAAGTTCTCAAATTGAACTCGCCTAAAGGCTCGCCCAATTTTGAACTTTCAAAACATCACGAGTATCTATAAATTCCAGATAAATTCCGAATTGTACTCGAGATCGTGCGATTCCCTGTACTTATTCTACTTTGATAGATCATTTTGCATTCATCTCATTCCACATGATTTGTTTTTAACTTTGCAAAGTTTCAATTTTCTCACTATGTTCTAATTCATTTCTTCATCATTTTTATACAAATATTCAAAACTTTTACTCCAAAATATTTCTTATCGAAGGAATTCAAAACGTTTATATCTTGTTTACCTAGAAATAAAAGCGGCCTTGCTTTGCAGTTCAAGAATTGTAAGGTCATTTTAAAATTCCATACGATTTCTAGATTGCTATCAGAATTTGCAAACGATTCTGGACACACTTCAGAGATAACCTTGATAAAAATGGAATTGTACGAAGTCCGGGTTAATATTTTTATATGTATTTTCTAGTTATTGGTTTTTCTGACCTTCATTGGTTTTTTCTATAAGTTCAGCATTTTCCTTTTTTTGTTGAGTGACTTTTTGTATCTTTATAGTTAAGTACATAAAGTTTTTTAAAGTGGTTTAGTTTATAATTTGAAAATAGAATTATTTTCGTTGGGTGTAATACTTTTCTCTTATTCAGTCAGTTGTTTACTAAGTTAAGTAACTCTTCATCTTCTATCAGCATTCCAGCTCTTTAACTAGTTGTGTTAATGTACTGATAATGGATATTTTAAATAATTGCCATGTAAATCTTTCACGGCTATATTGTTTACTAGAGTGTGAATGTTCCTTCGCGTTCCCCGCCTCCTTTTATAAAACAATTAGTGCTAAAAGCTCGCTTAATTTTCGCCATCTTTTCGCGACTCTGCCGAACATTCTTCGGCCACTCCAAGCTAAACAAACTAGTAAAGCATTTCAAATGTTTGTTTACCTAAAATAAACTCTGTCATGTTATTTTGCCGACATTTATTACATTTGGTAATTACTGCATCTGCATTAAGTATGTCATTACTTTCGTATTTGTCATTAAGTCCTTGCAAAGAAATAATTAGTGATGTGTGACTAAACACGCTCCAAAATCTCTTTTCAAACAAGAAGATAGTACGTGCAATTCCAGAGCTCACTTTCCATGTGTTTGGCTTTGGATAAAAGCAAAAGGTTGGTTTTGTTTCTCTACGAAGAAGAAGAATTAGAACCGAAGAAAACGAGTGAAGATGTTCTTCTGTACACACAGGTATTTTGTACCAGCAAGTACAATTGTACTAATTGAATTTTGAAGTTTTCTGGATGAATTATTTTAAGCTCTAAAACACAACCATCTCATAACTAACTTTAGAGGTGCTTTTGAAATTCGATTCGGCAAGTTCTAAGTATTCTATAGGTCATGGCTTAACTTGCCTACCTATCATGGGAAGGCGAGTTTTCATCAGGTTCGCAGGTCGCGAGGAAAAAAAAACATTCTCTTAGCTCAAGTTCTAACTTAATTCTCAGCAAAAACAGAGGAAGGAAATAAGAATTAGAGGTGTTCAGCCGATTTTAAAACATAAAACATCCTAAAGAACCAAAGAAAAAGCTTATTTTGACTGAACTTCATGCGGTGACACAAAGGTCGGGTGCAACATCCTTTATCGACATCATCACTTCAAGATCTTCGTACTATCTTGTTTTACCGACAACTTAGAGTTTCATGTCGAATTCAATTATACAGGAACCACAAATATTTATTTATAGTTTTATCTTCCTATGCGGTCCTTAAAGTTTCCGAATTTTATTATAAACACTCAATGAAAACCACGATAAATTAGACGTATAGTTACTGGTACAGTTAACAGGCTTTCAGCTTGCTGGTATTACATTTTTAGTGGTCTGGAACACTGCTATGCTATTGGCGAGACCAACTTCAGCTAAAGTGAAGAGCCGTTTAAAATCATGTAATTCAAACACTCACAGGACAGAAATGCGAACGAGTGAGAGATTTTCAACACGAGAAGATAAATTTCGTATCTCCAAGCGCCCATGTAATATTCTGTTTATTATATAATTATCAATGAAGTATGTTTTGGCTTTTTCAGGCAATTCTATTCGTGTATTTTTGAATAGCCATCGCAATGGTGTTATTTTAACGTGTGAAGATATCAATTTTTCGAAATAGAGAAAAATAGATACGACTACTTGCAAGAACGTTGACATACGAAAATAGAACATTAGTAATTTAGTGAGAAAGGAATACATTGAAAGACAAAAGAAAAAGTTCAGCTTCAGTGATCTTCTTTTGTTTTTTAATATAATTCCTATCCCACTAAATCACTAATGTTCTATTTTCGTATGTCAACGTTCTTGCAAGTTGGTCTATTTCATTGGTAATTATATAATAAGAATAATTATCATAGCTGGAAAGACCTTGTTAAAATTAGTAAACCTGTGAAGTTTGAAGGAAGTAAGTTCAAAACTCACGATGATAGGAATTTTCAAAAATGAAAAAATTTTGTATGAAAACATTCGTTGGTAGGCAAGAGCTGGAGTCGAGTCTTGCAAAATGCACACTTTTCAAATAACACATCTTCGCGAGTTTTGAACTTCAAACTTCACCGCTATACCTATTTTAACATTCTATTTCCAGTGATTATTTTTTAGTTTTACTAATCCAAAAATACCTGATATATAAAAGCTCATTCGTCCGTTAAGAATAACAACAACAACAAGAAGAACAAAATTAAGAGATTTAGAAGGACTTATATTATGGTTTCTCATAAAATATTTCTAATTTTTTAAACATGTATTTTTAATTAGGAGAAAGTTGATCGAAGGAAAACAAGTACTCTATTATCAAAACACCCGAGGAAAAACAACTTCGTACATTTTAAAAGTACAAAAATATCTACTTTATAATTAAAATTTTAACAAGAAAATATATTTTCTTATGGTTCTATAATAACATTTATTTCTGTACTCGTGGAGTTTTTAGTGATATTTTTTTGCATGAGTTGTGACTAGTTAAGACTTAATTGAGTTAACCATGACGGATTTGAGTCGAGTAACTTGATAACGGACGACCCGATAGATCACTTACCTTAAGAGAGACGTAATCTTTTTACTTACAGGATATGGTAATTTTAAGCTGTAAAGATTATATTGGAAAGGCGATTTCTTTTGGCGCTTGTTGGTGATTGCTTGATGGGGATGTGTCGTTGAGAGTTCTTGTAATTTTATTCATTCGTTTGTTTATTTGTTTAGTTTGTCGTCTTGTTTGCCTGTATATTTTTCTGTTTTCTTTTTGTTTATTCCTTCATCTCTGCTTTGTTGTCTGTCTACGTTTTTTTCTTTCTTTGTATGTTTGTTTATTTGTTTCGTTGGATTATCTTATGTTCCTTATGTTTGCAATATGTATGTTTGTTAGTACTTCTTGATCTGCCTATTTAATCATTTTTGAATCAGGATTTTTCTTAATTGATGGATTGCAAGCATTCCCAAGAGAGTCAAAAGACAAAAGCATGGCGGCCATTGTGGTGCCGTTAACAATGGGTGCTAATCAGAAATCTTTTGTTGAATGGCACCATCATGGCCGCGATGACGTAACGTGCAACCGAAGAATAGACATTCTATTACCACGATTCGGTCATTCTCTTAATTTCCTTTAATTTTTTTTTTTAAAGGTTTTGTTCGATTGTCTGTACTGAAGGTTCCTTAATTTGCTTCTTCTTTTTAGTCTTTTTTCCCTTCTTGTTCCGTGCTTGTGTTGGTTCGCAAGAGCCGGAGGCCGAAGCCCTAAGCGAGATTAATGTAATCCTTATCGATGGCTATTTTAAAGAATTTTCTTGTTCCGTTATCTGCCTTTTATTGCCTCACCTTCTTTCATGTGTCATGGGATCAAGTGGATCAACAATACGTCCCTTCGCTCCCTTCCCTTMTCCTCTTTCTCCACACTGGAATCTCCGTTCAAGTTCTTATCTCTTTTCTGCTCTGTTGGCCCAACAGAGTGACTCGTTTTCTTTAAAGTCAAAATATTTATATCGACGTGGTTTTTTTTCCCTGACATTTTTTATTAAATACCCGCGTCGTTTTATCGATGTAGGCTTTAAAGCTAGTCTCCTTTACAGCCGTTCTTAGTTGCAAAGGAGACTACTTCAAATCTGATAAACTTCGATGTTTTGAACATTGTTTGAGGAAAAACAAAGCGAGAGGGGTAAGGGAAGAGAATGAGAAAAGTAACAAAAGAAATAGATAAGGGGAAAGAAGAAAGAGCAAAGGACAGTAAAGAAAAATAGAAGTGAAAAAAAGAGAAGAGAAGAGAAGAGAAGAGAAGAGAAGAGAAGATATCTAATATTCAAACTACTAGAATTTTGTATAACACAATTTATTCAACCGTACAAACGCCCCAGCCTACTACCCCCAAGAGTTTTCGCTACACGGTTCACGGCTTTGTTTATAATCCATGTATTGTTTACGGTCACAAAACCGCGTTATAAATCAACAAATATGACAATGTACCCATAATCCCCTGCTGTCATACTGTCTGAAAACCTTGCAAATTTGTACAAAMCACTCCAATCTCTGTCAAGTATTCTGCCAATCTATCGATCAAAGTTTTTCCCTGTTTAGATTTGAAAGGTTTGGTGTGTGACGTATCTCGTATGCAAATAAGAGTTGGCGAGTTCGGGATAGCTTAGTTAAGAGGTTACCAATGTTCGAAAAAAGAATGGCTTGACAATGAAAACTCGTTGGAATTTTCGCCTGAAATTGGCTCTTAAAGAGGAACATACTGTTTGGTCGTTATAAAGAGTTTTTGTGAGGAAAATCTAGCGAAAAGTGGCAACAATGTTCAGGAAAATTCGTTTTGTTCTAGTGAAAAGGTTAGTATCTCTGACTCATCTCTAAGCGCCATGTTGTTTGAGTTTATTTGTTGTCTGCTTTCAAACTCTGCCGAATCTTTCACATATAAACAAAAAGCTATAATCCGTATTAGTATACAAATATAAAMTCTGGGTTTTGCGGTTTTAGGGCCAGCAGTGTCCTTAACATTACTGAATTTCTATCTTTAGTGTTATTAAGCTACGATGCACGTATGGCGTGACCTTCATAAAATATTCTGCTCTTCGTTCAACCAACTCTGCGCCACTTGTACATCCATAAACTGCTCACTTGAATCTGAGTGAATTCTAATTAATGAATGCCCTAATTCTTAAAAACAGAGAACTTTTTAAAGCGTGGTTTGATGACTTCCTTTAGCGAAACTTCGCCAAAATGGGCCAAATTGATTGCAAATTGTTTTGTTTTGTAATATATTCATTATATTTATAGCAAATGTTTTTTCGGCTCGTTAGACACGATTCCTAAGTAGTTTAATGTTTTCTTAACTCTAATTAACAGAAGTAAAGACGATTTTTAGTGGTGAATTCTGTTAGAAATATACAGAAAGATATATACGGTAAATACTTCAACATATAACGTCATGATCAGACGATAGATAGATAGACAAAAGACTGGGATTAGCAGAAAAGATTATAATATACAAACCTCTGGTGGTGAGTCGGGTAATATTGATTAAATRAGTGGTCAGTGATGGACAGATCCCRGAATCTTGCGACCATGTTTAAAAACGCTACGATACGAGTCAGACAAAATAATTTCTAGTGATAATAGATTTTTGTTACTTCTACGATTTTGATCAAAGAAATTCGTTTATCTTTTACGAAAAAAATATATTATCTCAATAAGTTTTAAAAGTTAAAGTGTAAGCATTTTTGAATTTCATGAGTTTCGTTTCCAAACTATTTTTTGTAGAATCACTGAGAGCGGTGAAAACATTTTTTCTTAACGAATTTTTTCTAAGAAAATTACTGTTGACATTTCTTAAGGCTTTGGGTCAACAGAAACACTCTCAAGTTTCGCTTCAAAGGACGTGTTTTGAATCATGGACGCGGAAGAAAAGGAAAAAGATAACCTTGTGATATAATTATTGAGTTTTTTCACTGAATATGGAAACTTTATCAAAGGTATTTTGTTAAGAGAAAGCATCCCTCCCATCAAGTCTCGCGACTCACTTCAACACCAGTATCAAATGAAGCAGCTTTCGTACGAGAATCGCGTGCCTTGACATTGAAATGRATTCCCGTATTGCTTCCACAGAATGCGGGTTTTCGTATGAGTGTTGAAATGGCTTTCCATAAGAATAGTTATCGTATGAGTGGGAAACGTACAGTACTGACTTACAGCATGTAAACGGTACGACATGCAGCAACATTAAAATAAGTGGCTTTCGTTAATAATTGTTTTCGAATGAGTGGGAAACATACGGTACTGACTTACCGCACGATCAGTGCAAAATGCTGTAACATTGAAATGGCTTTCCAAAGGAAGGTTTTCGTAAGAGTGGGAAATTTGAATTATACAGTACTGACTTCTTAGAATGGCTAGCATATAGTAGTGACTTACTGCACTTTACACGGCACAACACGGCTATAACACTGAAAGGGCTTCTTATAAGAATGGTTATCATATGAGTGGGAAACATAGGGTACTAGCCTGAGTATCAGGCCTTCTGGGGCGCTTGGGCTTTCCGAGACGGACTGGGGAGAGGGGGAGAGAGAGGGGAAGGAAGGCTCTCCTCCTCCCCCCTCTCTCTCTCTTTCACCTCCTCCTCTCCCCCTCCCCGGAGAGAGCCTGACACTCAGGCTAATAGGGTTCTATACTGACTAACAGCATGGTACGACATGTCGTARCATTGAAATGGCTTCCCATYRTTTTCAAGTAAATTAAATATTCACAATACAAAAAGTAGTCACAGCTACTGTAAGATACAGTAAGGCATAAAGTACTCACATAAAGTAGTTTACCCCCTTTCCCTGGTAAAAATAAAAAATAAACGCCTCTTACTACAGTTGCGGGAAAAATCTTAATGTAATTAGTTTTCAAGACCGTCAATATTAAAGTATTCTTAGAATAGACTGTTATATAAATATTTGTCCTCGGATATTTCTGTGTACCTGCCTAGGGGGTGAGAAATGTAGCCTCGTAGATCATTTAGAACAAGTATAATGCTCTATTTACACTTATTTCAATAAAGTTAGTCACCAAAAACCTAGAAAGCTGAGATCACTGAGCATCATGGGAAACTTTTCATATCAAAAAAGCATATATATRTACAAAGCTTTTTTAATACAAACTGCAGCTCGATGATGCTCAGAAGAGGTAASACTGTAACCGGTAAAAGATTGGCAAGTCCATGAACAGTTATCAAGCGGTTGAACGTGAAAAATGAATCTACCCATAATCCTTGTCGGCCTCAGCTTTATAGCTTTTCTGGTGACTAACTTTATTGAAATAAGTGTATATACCTTGTAATAAAAAGGATAGCGATAGAAAACGAACAGCGTTTCGGTACCCACTTAGTGACACCGTTAAGGTTGTTAATGGTGTCAAGTGGGTATTGAATYGTTCTTTGTTTTCTATCCGTTTTATTACAATGTCAAAAATTCAATTACTTATAATTACCTTACCGTATATTTCAATCATCATTCCTTTCGTTTCTCTCAGTCTATTCCTTAATTATACTTTATTTAAGTTTAATTTTCCCATTTATTTCAATTTTTGTTGCTTTTCCTTACCTTTCATTTTTTTAGTTTTATTTTCCAATTTCGTCTAATTTTGTTGCTTGTTTTCAACTCTTCATTCATTCTGTTCTGTTTTTTTTCCTTTTTCTAATCTTTCCCTTCCATTTGTGTACCACCTCTTACAGACTTTGTCTACCAATCCTATCACACCCTTGAAGCCCTCTTGCACCGTAGTTTTGCATCCTTCTATTCGTATTACTTTAGTTGCATAAGCCTTTTCGGAATTCRATAAACGGGATGCATTGTGGTCTAGCTTGGGTACAAACACCATATGAGTCATGGCGAAAAAATTTTTGTACCCAAGCTAGACCAGAATGCACCATGTTCGCCATCTCACAAAAGGTCTATGTACCCAAGCTAGACCAGAATGCACCACATTCTTTATCTCTATGCTATCAATTTTCTAATCCCCATTTTCCATCTGTAGTGCACACAGCAAGGAAGGGCTGGACGAAAAGACCCCAGACCAACCAAAACTGGAAAAAYCCAAAAGCAAGAACAAATTTCTTGGATTATTTCACAGTTCGAGCGACCCAGACCTCAATCCAAAACAAAAAACGCGAAAATCGTTTTTAAGACGCAAAAAGAACAACGAAAAAGAAGCCAAAGATTCTCCGGATGAAGCTTCAAGTGAAATCTTGACTAATCATACAGAAAGACTTCCGGATAATTTACTTCCGGATGGACCACTTTCGGACAAATCACTTCCGGACAAATCACTTCCGGACAAATCACTTCCGGATGGACCACTTCCGGATGGACCACTTCCGGATGGACCACTTCCGGATGGACCACTTCCGGATAAATCGTTTCCGGATAATTTGGTTCAAGATAATGTGGTAGTGGAGAATAATGTTGTGGATAATTTCGAAAATGCATCACAAAAACACTCGCTTTTGGGCGAAACTTTACCTTTGGATCCTTTAAAATCTATGTCAGTGTCTACACTTGGATCTRTGCATCGGGTTGATAGAATTGACATTGACCCATTTCCTCCGGACGGCGAGGCATGGAAACGAGCTAAGGACGTATGGGAGAAAAATGAAATCGAGGAAACAAAAGAGAAAGAGAAGGAAAAGAGAAAAACGAAAGGGAAAAAGGAGCATCATGATAAAAAACGGGAAGGAAAGGAAGAAAGGGATGGGAAATCTCGGCAGAGATCGAAGAGTCGAGAGAAGGACAAAGAGCATGCTGGGAAGGAACGGTCTGATAGTAAAAATAGATCAAAGGAGAAAAAGAGACACGAGAAACTTGAACACGATGAAGGTAAATACGAGGAGAAGAGAAGTAAAGAGGACAAACATAAGAAACACAAGTCACGAACCGAGAAACATGGCGGTGGACACAAGCGTGATACGCGCGATAGTGATAGTGAACTTGATAATAAACATGATCGCAAAACAGATCGTAGGCATAAGCATAAGCCAAGAATCGAGGAACATGGTGGTGGGCACAAGCGTGATATGTCTCGTGATTATGATAGTGACAGTGAACTTGATAATAAACACGTTCGCAAAACAGATCGTAGACATAAACATAAGCCAAGATGCGAGGAAGATGGCGGTGGGCACAAGCGTGATATGTCTCGTGATTATGATAGTGACTGTGAACTTGATAATAAACACCTTCGCAAAACAGATCGTAAACATAAACATGAGCACAGGCATAAAGATTCGGATCACGATCGTACTCACGATGACGCTCACGAACACGCACACGTTCGCACACTTGATCGCGTTCACGCGAAGGAACACAAGCATCAGCCAACGCACAAAGACGATAAACATACTAAAAATAACGAAGAACTCCACAAACACTYCAAACACAAAGAACTAAAATCCGAACACAAACACACCAAGAACCTCAATCCTTACGCAGAAGACAAAAGAAAAATCGAACTTGATAAAGTTTGGCGAGAATATGAATCTGGCAAGCGTTACCACTCGCAGGAGAAAGATATGAAGAAAATCATCGACCGTCTTGACGGTGTCGAGCGGTTCAGGAGGGAGGAGCGAAATCGCATGAGTGACAGGTCACATGATCGGTCCAGTGATACGTCACATGAGGCGGCCCACAGGAGTCGGAGTAGAGAGAGAAGGCGGAGGTCGAGGAGTAGAGAAAAACATCGACATGAATCTGATCAGGTTAGCAGCTGTAAAATGACTATCAATGAAGTGTTCAGGGCTATTAGTTATCCCGAGGTGCGTTGAGGAAAAAACTGTGTCGAGTTGGCATTACTAAGCAATGTAGAGCTGTTTAAGGGGACGTATTTCCAAGATGGCGGCTTTTTAGTCCCCTTAAAACAACTCRCAATGCACTGCAATGCCAACTCGACCCAGTTTTATCCTCAAACTTGGAATGGCGATTACGAATAGTCCTCTTTAGCTTGGGTGCAATTTTCTATTTCAGACCTCCCTGTCATTACGGACAGTGATGTGCATCTATTCTTACATTAACCTGCATAATACGGTCACCCTGTTATCACAGACACTTGTTGTTGTCCCAGTAATATGCATCTACTCTTACATGAACCTGCTTAATACGAGCACCCTGTTATTACGGACACTTTTACTGACCTCATAGTGTCCGTATTTTCGGGTTCCATTGTATCGGTTTTACAAGTTAACTATGTCGTGCCGTATCGTGATTGGATCAACTGTCGTCAATACCGTGGCCCGTGCCGTTCCTCTTTACACTCACAAAAAATACTGTAGTCCATTATCAAATGTATCGATATTTTTTTCAAGGATTCCAATCACTCAAGCACTTGGCAGTACTCTCTTAGTAGAATAGAAGCGAGACAAGAACAGTGCAAAGCTGAAATCGACACAGCTCGACGATCCATCGAGCACCGCATCAAACAGCTCGAAACGCGCTTCGAGAAACACTACTCCTCGTCCGAGAGACTCCCCGACCAACCGCGGGAAAAATCCAGCGCAGAAGAACCACCTGCCTACAAAAAAATAATCGACCAAGTCGCAGACGAATGCAGAGAGGTAACGCGGACCTTAGAAGTCAGGACCGAGGAGATGAAATCCGAGATTGCGTCGGTGGTTCGAGAAGAGTTGACACACTTAGACGAAAGCCTGCACAGTCCTAACACTACTCCTTCTTCACCTGGACCATTCTTTGGTGTGCGCGTGGTGGGGAACTTCCGATGTGAGGAAACAACGACCGTAAATCCTGGTAAAGTGATTCAAGATCATGATGATGACAAGTCAAAGTTGACTAGTGTGACGTCAGTGGAACCTATATCATCAGCAGACGAGAGTATGGTTACGGTTATAGAAGAGAACAGCAGAATAACAAGTGAGTATTTATTTTTATTTCATCTGTACACCTATTTCAAAAACATTGTCGGTGGGAGATCTGAATATTGGCGATCAGATTTTAGATCTTCGACCGACAACGTTTATTGAAATAGGTGTATACGTTTTTCGTTCATAAGCGCACTCGCCTCTTACCTGTGRGGTCTCGGGTGCCATTAGTATAGTTTATTTTTCAAGTTTAAACTTTTTGCTTTCCCGATTGATGAAGAAATAGAAAACGCGCGCGCGTGCTGTGTACAGTTATAAAGCACGCGGGAGTTGGCAGAACACAAGAGAAGTGTTAGGAGAAGCACGACGCGTAGCGGAGTACTTCTCGACACTTCTCGAGTGTTCTGCCAATCCCCAAGTGCTTTATAACTGCACACAGCACAGCAAGTTTTTTATTTCTTTTATAAAATACAAATTACATGAATGACGAAACTGAAAGTGCGCGCGCGTGATGTGTGCTCTCATAAACCACGCGCTGCCAACCAATCAGAACGCGAGATTTAGAGCAGTTATTTTATAATTCATTTTACTGCTTAAGGGACATATAGGATTATGATGCCAAGCTAGTATAAAGTGAGATTCGCTTTTCTGAAGGTTTATTGACATGGATTTAATTAAGGTAGCTTGTAATCTGAAATTCAATAAACGAATGATCAACATTCAATACACCTCCTTCGCTTTGTCATAATGTTTTCCCATGTCAGACCACGTGTCATTCTCTTGAGAATTAGATTCTTTGTTTGAGTCGTATCCATATTCATGTGTCTTCTAATGCGCAACTGTTAATCAAAGAAATGATACTCTAGGGAATGATACGTGGTCTGAAATGGGAAGATATTGCGCCCAAGCTAAAGAAGTGTTTCATAATATAGTGTTGTTTGAATTCATTTTGGATGAGGGGAGGGAGGGATGATTTGTTAAGGTTCGTGTGTGAAGAGTGGAGTGAAGATGAAAGTTCATTCAACCAACGTTCTTTTTTCTACTTTCCAAGAAACGACACCAAAGGACTGCGCAGACGCGGAATCCCATTCAACTCTCTCATCACGTGATTTCCAAGTACGTGTCAGCCAATCAGGTGCCTTAGACACGCTGAACGAACCTTCAGGGCAGAAACATAGTGTTTCATCGACATGTGATTCAGGAATCTCAGCAGACCATCCCACGTCACCTATACATCTAAGATCGCCGGGGATAGAGAACCTCCACGAGTTGTCCCTAGAGAATTTTGAAGATGAGGCTCATTGTGACGAAACTCATGAGGAAGAGGGACACGATTGCAATGGTACACCGGAGTCCCTACAAGAAGTGTACCGCCGTAAGATCAAGGAGACAGAGGCTCGTTGTCAGGAGAGGGCTCTCGAAGAGAAAGAAATATTGTACCGACGAATTAATGAGCTGGAATCGATGTTACTGGCCTCGCGTGAGGGGAAGGGTCAGTATGTGTGAATAAATCATGACGTAGTCAAATCGAATAATGACGTCGATCTACATATGCCTTACCAGTACATATCGCACCAATGTTGACATGACCAAGGATGATGACGTAAGGTAGATGTATCACATATTACATCGTGACCTAGACATGACGTAATTACGACGTATATCACAGAACATCGCGGCTTACATATGACGTAATATATGTATATTCGTCTATCTTCATCAAATTTAAGTCGCTATGGCAACTATGAGGTATGCATGAGTGATGTCATCATACAATAGAAGTAAAGACGCCGCTTTTAAATGGTGAATGAGGTTATACGTATCTTTATAACAGGTTGTTAAAGTGATAGGGGGTAAGGGTGTTAGCTGTTTTGAACCTAGTTGGAATGACACGGATGAAAAACGTCTGCGCATGCTCTGAATCGRTATGAAAACTAGTCAAAGTATATGTAAATTAGACTTTCAAGCATGTCTAATAAATTGGACTTCACAAATGCCAAAACTTAGTGTCCATGCTTGAAACTTAAGACTAATTCTTTCATCTTGTATTTTTTTAATACGGTATCTTGGTCTGACAAAAGTAAACTCCCGAAAATGTTATGTATACTCGGAGAAAACAAACATTTATTTTCTCACTCAAACTACTCTTCAAAATTCTTAGAAAACGTGTTGAAATGCACGCATGCGCAAACGTTTTTCTCTAGTGTCAGTTGGGATTCATTATTGGTATTCATTAGAATCCAGAGTAAAGCAGAATGAGGCGTAAAGTATTTTGAAAACATATACTATACTAGACCAGACTTCCTTTGAGCTCCCTTACATACAGTTGTACCATAGCTGTTCCTCTTAGTCTAAAGGACCTTCCATTCTTTGTTGCCTTTCGGGGGGTAGGGGTCGGGTTGGAATTTTTGTTGAAATATCCTAAAGATAAACTGACCAGCCCAAATGGCAATATCTTTTTATGACTCCTCCCCCCCCCCCCCCCTCAATAGTGGGGTCGTTACTCTCATGTTTGTGTGATCCCCCTAGTAGTTTGATTCTCAGATTCCACCCAAAATCTGCAAACCCCGAAAGCCTCGTTATATTGACAATGATAGGTTTTTGATAGGTTTGAAACAGCAGTGATATAACTGATCCCCATTCAATTGTCTAAAATATTTGCGTTCCCAACACCCTAAATCCTCGTAGCCCCCTCCCCCTCAGGCGATAGACGTCTACCCCCTACCCCTCTAGGTGATAGATGGTATTAAGTAATTAAACAGATGTGTGAATAGAAAAATTGACCACGATAAAAAATGCATATGATCATGTACATATAATGATGATTATTCTTGATGTTTTTGATATAGAAACATAGAATATTTACGCCCAAAAGAATACAACAGTATTTAAGAGGAAATAATTGATATAACAAGTGTTTTTGAGCAAGTAAATTTTTAGAAAAATTTATCATTAAAAAAGCAAAAATTCTTCAATAAAAATTTCCATAGAACATTCATTATCTTACCCCTATCTACGAAGTGACTTTTTCATACTCCAATAATAGAGGGTGTTCAACGAGACCAAGGGAGCAGGGTACACTGGGATACCTGGGGGGGGGGGGGGAAGTTTACCAGAGTTCTTCATTTACAAATATTCAAATCAAAAGAATTTATCATTGTAAAAAACGTACTTCAAACGAATATCCTCAGCTGAATTGATTTCCATTTTGATGTGTTTGTCTTTCACTTTGCACTTTGCACGGATTAAATGCCCAGCATAGCAGTTCTTTTTTTTTTTTTTTTTTTGAGTTTGGGTTAGGAATTGGGTTAGGGTTTTTAAAGTGCTACTATGACGAAAATCGCTCAAACTTGGATTCAGCTGAAACTTCCTAAGAATACTCTTTAAAGGTCCAATAATCACTGTATGAAGTGTTTTCTCGATATTCAGGACGAAAATATGATATCTTTACGATTATTTTTTGGAGTCTGTGACGTCATACACTCAACATCGAACATCACTCCATACATTTCTTTGTAGTTTATGATCAAAATATCAGTAGTAAAGGGAGAAAGAAATACCCAAACACCCCCAAAATAAAAATTATAGTCACAAGTAATGTGAAATAAGCACATTAGCCACCCTTTGGGCTTCATAGGAATAAAATAAATTAAGGATTTATATACAAAGGAATATATGTAGCAATGTTTRATGTTGAGTGTATGACGTCACAGACTCCAAAAACTAATCGTAAAAATATCATACTTTCGTCCTGAATATCGAGAAAACACTTCATACAGTGATTATTGGACCTTTAAAGAGTATTCTTAGGAAGTTTCAGCTGAATCCAAGTTTGAGCGATTTTCGTCATAGTAGCACTTTAAGGACGKTAAAATCAATATCAATAATTARTAATCGAATAGTGCCATTTCATGTAGTATTCCATAAAGTACTAACCTCGATATTCAATGATCTCTCAAATAAAATATGATTCTAATTGCATCGAAGGAATCTATCCTTGTAGAGAAACTACAAAAATATTAACAAATTCTTTTATTTTCAAGTCGAAAAAGAAAAACCAATAAAAAATCATGAGAAAATCTTGAGTAGGTTTAATGTTTCGGCCACCCATCCAGGTAATGACCCTCTTGACTCAGTGTTTTTCAATTGACCCCACGCCCACGTTTTTTCCACTGGACCACG